GGTCCCAGTTGTTAATTCTTCCAAGTGTTTCCCATGAGATTTGGTTTCTGTTCATGAACTCTTTGCCTACCCCTATGTCTTCAAGAGTGCCTCCTCCTTTCTCTTCTCAGAGATTTAGTGTTTCTGATTTAATGCTCAGTTCTTTAATCCATTTTGATTTTAGTTTAATGCATGGTGATAGGTCAATTCCTGATATCAAAACAAACACAAAAAAAGATGATACACCACCCCATGGAATATTACTTGGCAAACAGAAGAAACAGCATACCGATATATGCTACATGAATGAATTTTCAAAATGTTTACGAAGTGAAGAAAGTCACAAAAGGCCACACACTGTATGATTGCATTTATATGAAATGTCCAGAATAGGCAAATACATAGACATACAAAGTAGATCCATTGTTGTTTAGGGCCAGGGAAGGAATGGATTGGCTAGAGGTACAGGATTTCCTTTACAGGCAATAAAAATGTTCTAAAATTGATTGCGGTCATGTTCATTCAACTCTATGAATATACTAAAAACTATTAAATCATATAGTTAAGAAACAGGAAATTGTAGTGTGAATCATGTCTCAGTAAAATTGTTATCAAGCAAAATCCACTCTGTCTTGTGCACAGCCAAAGCGTTCCCCAAGGCGGCTGTAAACTGTCCTGGGAACAGGACTCGCATCTTCCAGCCTCCTTTGGTGTTAGTCCTTGATCCAAGAATTCTGACAGGGTTCTAGGCCACAATGCCTCAGAAATGAAAATCATTTCTTAGCTAAAGTTCCATCTTCCTCACCTACCCTCTCCCTTTTAAGAAGCATTCATGAATTCTTTGTAAATGACTTTTTCAGTGACTTCTTTGTAGGGGCTGAAAAATAGAAGAGGGGATGACATCATAGAAGGGCAGACAGCTTTCAATGGAGTTTAAGGACCTAGTTCTGTAGAAGACATTAAAGCAAAAATGCAAGCAAGTATAGAAAGTGTTTCTCTTCCCAAAGTGGAAACCAAATTCATGAATTATGTGAAGAATTGCTTCCTGATGACTGACTGGGTTATTCAAGGTCTCTGGCAGTGGAGGCAGTCTCTTTAAGAAAACAGTTTAAACAGTTTGTTAGTTTTCCATCTTCTTTTTTTTTTTTAATTTTTATTTGTGTGTGTGTGTGTGTGTGTGTGTGTGTGGCCAGCTTAGCCCACCAGGGGGCGGGCTGGCTGGCATGTGGTGCTGGGGGATTGACCCGTGGTCCCTGGGTTTTGCTAAGCATGTTCTAAGTAGGTGCTTTAGACCACTGAGCCATCTCACCAGCCCCTAGTTTTCCATCTTCTTTCATTTCTGTAACAGTTGCCATCTAGCTGTCCTTTTTATAATGTAAAGTGAGAACTTTCCCTATTGTGTTTGGTAAATGTTGTCCAGGTCCCATTGCCAAGAATGTGTTGTCTGAAATGCCTGTTTAGGTTTAAAGATGGGACTGCACCCTTTGCTTGGTTTTAAGTATGTATGGAATGTTAAAATAAGACATAGTAGTAGTGGTGGTCAGACATGGGGATGATAGGGAGACAAATATACATGTGAAATAAATGCAGTATTTTAATAAAGTAAAAAAAAAAAAGGAGTTTCAGGCATCCTGAGTTTTAGAAAGTTCTTCACCCATTTCTTCATTTGGGATCTTTCCTGCACCCCTATCTCTCATGTCCCTTGGGCTATGTCCCCAAGACTATCCTCCCTCCCTGTCTGCAGCACACCAAATTGCCCCCAGCATCTCTCAGGCAGAGGTGTTTTTAAAAATCGTGGGTGGCTATGATTTTCTCTCCCATGGCCCCTGAGCTCAAGTTCTACTCAAGAAATTTAGCAAGATTTATCTTTAGAAAGATAATACCTTCCTAGAGGAATGCTGTTGTCACCTCTTAAGGCATTAGCATGATTTTTGTTTGCTCCTTTTCCTTTCGTGGTACTGGGGAGTGAATCCCAGAAGTGTTGAGCTGTGTCTCCAGTCGTTTTACTTTTTTTTTAATTTTTAATTTTCATTTTGAGGCAAAGTCTTGCTAAGTTGTGCAGGCAGGCTGGCCTCAACTTTTAATCCTCTTGACTCAGCCTCTTGAATACATATGATTTTAGAGAAAAAAAGTTTAATGAACTTCATGTATCCATCACCTACACACCTTTATCAATTAACTTTTTTTTAAGCCAATCTTATTTTCACTGAAGGTAAATTCACCTCAGTTATTCTCATTTTCCATTAAAATACACAGCTGAGGGATCACCCCCGTGGGATCGAACCTGTTTAGCACGCAGGAGGCCCTGGGCTGGATTTCAGTGCCACGCTTACAAAATGACATTTAAAATAAAAATACAGACGCTCGTGTCCGACTAAGGCATAGGTCACAGGTTTAACAACCTCCTGTTCTTCCCCAGCGCTGCGAGGGGAGGAAGAGAGATGGAGTTTGCGAACCTCCACAGCGTGCAGGGGCTGAAGGTGGGCTTCCAAGCGGTGAGCCCCTGGGTGGGGCTGGGGGAGGTGGGGCGGGAGGGGTGGGGCGCAGCGGGCACGGCGGGACCGGGCCAGGGGTGCAGGGGAGCGGGCCTAGAGCGCCGTGTCGGACGCAGCGTCCTGCGGCGCCCCCTCGCGGGCGTAGAACTCATCGAGCACGCTCTGCGGGATGCGCTTCAGCATCTCCTTGGGGAAGATTCGCAGCAGCTTCCAGCCCAGGTCCAGAGACTCGAACACCGAGCGGTTCTCGTAGGGACCTGGGGCGGAGCAGAAGGGTTAGGGCTCGGGTGTGGGGCGGGAAAGGCTGGCGAGGTCATGGCTCCATGCCCCCGTGCGCCTCACCCTGGTGGATGAAGTTCTTCTCGAACTTCTGCAGGAATTCCAGGTAGAGCAGGTCCTCGGAGGTGAGCGCCTCCTCCCCCACCACCGCCTTCATGGCCTGCACGTCCTTTCCGATGGCGTAGCAGGCATACTGCCGGGAATAATGCGAGTAGCCGTGTCACCCCCCGGGCTGGGGACTCCTTTATGGCAAGCAGTTATGCCAGGGAGAGGCTTGGCGTCCAGATTGGAGCTCAGACCTCCAACTTCTGAAACAATAAGCCCCAAGGCCCTGGCCCTTTGCAGCTTACCAGCTGGTTGGAGACATCTCCGTGGTCCTTCCTGGTCATACCCTCCCCAATGGCCGACTTCATCAGTCGCGACAGGGAAGGGAGCACGTTGATAGGAGGGTAGATCTAGGAGAGGACAAGTGAGTGGTAGAGAGAGTGCAGGCTCTATTTCCTGCGCGCGTTGCCTGTCCTTGTTCCCGTGGTTCTTAGGCAAGGTGTCCCCATTCACCTTACAGACACCCCTCCTTCTCTCATAAATTCTGGGGCCGGTATCTACACGTGTGGCCCCAGACAGGACATTGGGTGTGGGGAGATGACCCAACATGGTTGTTAAGAAAGACCCGGGGAGATAGCTCAGTAGAATAAGCGCTTCAAGCGCAGGATCCTGAGTTCAATCCCTGATGGGGGGGGGGGTGTCATATCCTTCAAAATGCTTGCCTATTTGGACAAAAAAAAAAAAATCAGGTTTCAACTTAACAGGAGCTGAAAAGAAACAACCTGAAAAGAAGAAAAGTCACTGGTAAGCCATTAGCCTCTGGACAGGACAGACACATATTCTGATACTTTGACACCTTATGCGCAGCCTGTTTGTGTCAATTACCCCTTCTTTTCTGCTCATCAAAGCAAGTAAGTGGAAAGTAGAGTATTAGTATTCATTTAGTGTCTATTATGTTCCAGATGCTTTCAATATGGCAACTTATTTTACCTCCCACAATGCATTGGTGTTGTTTAATATCTCATAGAAGAAGAATCCTACCTGGGCTCAGAAAGGTGGGATCATTTTCTCATATTCCCAGCATGTGGGTGGGGTTCTGCCCATACTCTGAACCACATAGCCTTCCCAGGTGCATGCCTCGGCCCACTGCTCCTCATGCAGGCCCGGGGGTGGTGGGCACCTGTTATTCTGTCTTTGGGGTTGAGGAGGGAGTAATACCTGTCTGTTGTGCAGCTGTCTGTCCACGTAGATCTGTCCCTCAGTGATGAAGCCTGTCAGATCTGGGATGGGGTGAGTGATATCTGCAGGAGAACACCCTAGTCTCAGTTTGGATGGGGTCCAGGTCTCCACCCACTCAGGGCTACCTGGCTTTAGTCTCAGGAGAGTGATGGGGGAGGTGAAGGAAAGGGTAGCATGCACCCTGACGGAGGGCCAGAGCTGCTGCACATCTCTGCAAAGCAGCATAGTCGCTCTCATTCTCTGGATAGGAAAGGGAGATATGGGGATTCTGAGAGCCGGGAGCCATGAGGAAGGCTACCATCATTGGGCATGGTGAGGATGGGGATCTGTGTGATGGATCCTCCCCGGCCCTCCACACGGCCTGCCCGCTCGTAGATGGTGGCCAGGTCCGTGTACATGTATCCTGGGAAGCCTCGGCGCCCAGGCACTTCCTCTCTGGCAGCTGAGACCTGCAATAATACCATGGGCACTGAGGTGAGGAAGGGGCCGAGAGGCTGATATTCAGAAGGTGAGGAGTGAGGTGGGGGACAGAAGGATGGCCAGGCTGTGACTGAGCCCCAGAGTGGGCCTGGGTAGAGAGAGTTTCACTCTGTTCTCAAGGAGACACCCGGGAACTTGTGCCCTGGGAGAGGCGGGGAAGAACTCGGCGCATCTTGCCAGCCAGCTCACCTCCCGCAAGGCCTCAGCGTAGGAGCTCATGTCCGTCAGTATGACCAGCACGTGCTTCTCACACTGATAGGCCAGGAACTCGGCAGTAGTCAGTGCCAGGCGTGGGGTGATGATCCGTTCGATCCTAGAAGAGAGGCACAGCTGGTGACCGCAGAGCCTGGACAGCCAGGTCTGCACCCCTCCTAGCCCAGCGCTGAGTGCCAGGTGATCTAGGCAGCTTGGTCTGTGCTGTGGCAGGGGGGTGGATGAGGTGAGCCGTGGCCCTATGCCCCATGTCAGGTCCTGGTTTCCTGCAAGTCCAACAGCTCCCTCTCTTGCCACTGGGGGGGCAGGAGACAGAGGTGAGACCAGAAGGGAAGTGGGGGTGGGGAGGCCCAGGAGTGTTTGATGGGGCTGGCCCTGTAGACTCTGGCCTGTCACTTTGGCCTATCACCGTCACACTGGGAGTCAGGTGAATGCACATGTGCCTGCTTTAGTCCCTCTTCCTCTGGGGAAGTTCCCATGGGTGCGAGCTGGAGCTCACACACTGTCCTCAGGGCCGTGTCTTCACTTACTATCTCTCCCACTGCCGGTGAGCCCACCTCATATGCATGGCCCTCATGCTTGCCTACCCTGCCCCCTTCGAGTCCTTCGGAACATGCTCCTTTGGCTCCAGGATGTCCCCATCTCCACCTCTAGGCCCGTGGGTCTTCCCCTTACAGATGCCATCACTGCCTCCACAATCCTGTCCCTTAGTTTTTTTTCTTTTCTTTTTTCTTTTTTTTTTTTTTTGCGGAACCAAGGATTGAACTCAGGCCCTTGCGCTTGCCAAGCAAGCACTTATTCTATTGAGCTATCTCCCTGGCCCCCTGGCCCTTAGTTTTTGAAGTACCCTCACTACCCAGGATAGTTTATTAGAACTTTGTCTTTCATTTTTCCCAGATTTAAACTTCCAGTTTAGATTTTCTAAACTTTCAGAACTCCAGCTTTTCTAAACAAATGGCTTAGAGAAGTGATCTCTTTAGTGGTGACGTTGTGGAAGTGACCCTGGGATGCGGGGCTGTGACTTAGGACAGTGACCAGATGAAGGCTGTGGAAAGCATGGAGGGGCTGCAGACTGCAGAAGCAGCCATGGGCTGCCCCCCCATCTCTCCATGGGCCATTCCCAACCCTTCTCATGCCTCAGTATCCCAGTTGTTCTCAGCCTGGCTCATGGTTATGATTGTGGGAGGCTCTGGCCATTGGTACCCTGGTTTTGTAGGGGGATGGGGCAACCCCTTCCTGGCAGTCTGGGCATCAGGGAGGGCTCACGTGGGGTCATTGGCCAAGTTCAGGAAGAGGCAGACATTCCCCATGGTTCCATTTTGCTCGAAGTCAGACTTGAAGAACCGGGCTGTCTCCATGTTCACCTGGACACAGGGAAGGGAGGGCTGCAGGTAGGGCTCTGCAGCCCGAGGGGAGGGCCTGGACCTTCCCAGCTGTCTTCAGGGAAACCTGTGCATTGACACAGTTGCTAAGGGCAAAAGCACCACAGTCCCTGGGGGCAACCCTGAGACTTGGGAGGGACTCATCAGCACCTCCAGAGAAGCTTGGCCTTGTTTATGTCAGGCTCTGCACAGTGCCGACCCTGCACCTCCCATCCTTCTCTTGGATCTGCGAGGGGTTTTGGTATCCCATGAAGTTGTCTGGTCTCCCCAAGTTCCCTGTCCTGCTCCAAGCCACCCTCAGCCTACCTTACAGCATACGTGGCCTATGGAATGGAGTTCCTCAAGGGCCATCCCTTGCTGGTCACAGAGCCTGCCTCAGTCATATTCTTGGCTGTCCCACCAGTCTGGCAGGGACTCGGATGGCTTCTCAGGAAGGATTGTGACTCACCTATCAGGTCTGGCTGTGCCAGGGCCTAAGAGAGGCAGAACTGCCTGCTTGCAGATTTAGAACTTGCTAACAGGCCCAGGTGGCTCCCTTACCCCCATGGCTGCAAAGATGATGGCGAAGTTGTCATCATGATAATCCAGCACAGCTTTGGATTTCTTCACCAGCCCAGCCTGGCGGCAGATCTGGGCTGCAATCTGAGCAGAATGTGTTGGGAGGGCGGCTGTTCAGGCACCACCCCCAGGAGAAGGACAGAGAATTTTCCATGTGTCCTGCTACCCCGGCCTTTGGTAGGGGCTGTCCCAGGCTGCAGAGGTGCAGGGTTTCTGCAGATGCTACAGTCTTTTATGAAGGAAGGGCTGTTCTGTGGCTATGGAAGGGTGATGGGTGCTAGTCATGAGGAGATGGGCAGAACAAGTGGTTCCAAATGGCAGTGTGGCGGAGGGAGGTGAGAGCCTTTGTCCCTCTTGTAGTCTGCTGGGGCTTTATAGGTACAGAGCTGCCCCCTAGCCTGCAATGTGTGGAGCCAGGATGTATGCCCACATGCATGCATGTGCATGCGAGCAAGGTTCAGATCGCCCAGACCATTTTGAGGTGAGCTACATTCAGGAGTAGCAGGGAAGGAAATGTCATGCCAGCCACTGTGAGAAGAACTGACTGTATGAACTTGGTGATGGTGGTGGAGTAGACGCGGACCAGGGAACATGAATACAAGGACAGGCCAGCTCTGCTGAGCAGGGTCTTCTACACTGGGGCCTCCCAAAAGCCTGTATGCTCCACTGATTTGAGGTAGCTGCAAGGCCTGCTGGGGGCAGAGACTGGACATGGAAGAGGGCTGGTGCAGGCTAAGAGCCAGCCTGGGTGCAGGAACCCCACTCCCTTCTGGGCACAGGAGTCTGGGCCTCTGCTTTCCCTGTCTGCTGGCCATGCTTACTGGCCCCACAAGCCTCACCTCATTGTGGGGGAGCCCAGCTGCTGAGAAGATGGGGATCTTCTGACCACGAGCTATGCTGTTCATGACATCAATGGGAGAGATGCCTGTCTGAATCATCTCCTCAGGGTAGATTCGGTCATGGGGATTGATGGGTTGGCCTGGAAAGGGCAATGATGGAGCCATGCTCAGGGGTCCTCCCTTTTCTGTCTTCCACAACCCTGCCCAGACTCCAGAGCAGTACTACTCCCACTTCCTGGGGTGACCGAGGATGTGTTGCCCAGTGTAGCCCCAGTCAGGTGCAGCCACTGTGCCTATAGAATGTGGTTTGGAAGTGAAAATGTTTCTCATTTGGTTGGATGAAGTCTCAGCAGCCAGGTCCATACTACTTTGGACAGCACTGCCCGTGTGCCAAGCTAGTGGGTGGTGGGGACTCAGGCTGAGTCCCCTTGGGTGAAGGTAACCAGGCTTACTCCCTACCGGCCAGTGGACAGATGACCTGAGGTGACCTGGGCACTGCCCTTCTGAGCAGAGGGGTGTTCTGAGTTCTGCCACTGACTTGCTTTGTGGCCTTAAGCAAGTCACGGGCTTCCATGGGCACCACCATTCCCTCAGTAAACTGATGGCTTGGAGCATAGAGGAAGCCTCCACTCGAAAGGGCCTGGGTCTGCTACTGCAAACCAGCCCAGTACAGCTCTCAGGATGAGGACAGGGGCCCTGGGGGTGCGCACAGAGCACTGTGCTGTGATGACACCATTTTACAAGGGGTGGATATAGAGTGCTGAGGGCAGTGTTCTGGCTCAGTGGAAGATTTGGGGGCCGTGGAGGCCTTTCCTGCCCTCACGTCCACCTGACCTGTCCCTTATTCTGACTGGCCTTGGGTTGACACTGGTCAGTGTCCTGTGTCTAGGCACAACTTCTAAGGACAGAGTCGGGGGCCTGCCCCTTAGCTCAATTCTTTAAGTGGCTGCTTCAACAAAGGTTGCTGTGGTTTGAACCCCACAACTCAAGCCAGCCAAACCTGCCCTGAATGCATTCGGAGAAAAAAAAAAAATCCTTCTAAGGACAGAGTGGCAGAAATGATGCCTGGGGATGGGAAGCAATTGGAGGCTGGGTCCTGAAAGCCACCCAGGGGCTCCGAGTACTCACCATTGATGTCCAGAAAATCCTCCGCCATGACCATAGGCCCTTTGTCAATGGGTTTGCCGGAGCCATTGAAAATCCGACCTGAGAGCAGGCAGGGGTGTGTGTGGATGACCAGGGCCACCTGAGTCCCCAAGTGCTCTCAGCCTCCACACCATCACCAGCTCTCCTCTTTCCAGCATCTGCACTGACCCATGTCCCCATCCTGTCCAGTCCTCTTGACCCAAGACAGTGATTCCAAGGGGGAGGATGCAGGACTTGGAACGTGTGTGTGTGTGTGTGTGTGTGTGTGTGTGTGTGTCCCCATCCGGGTGGCGTAGGGCAGGTGACCAGGCCAGGTACAGCAGGTGCTGAGATACATTTGGGGACATATAGGGCTTTCAGCCTGACCCCCAATTGGCCAAGTACTTGCTGAACTTGTGGCTTATTGAACCTGCTTTCCCATAATGGAACACCTGCTGTGTATCAGACCCTGATCGAGGGTTGGGAACTAAGAAGATGAGATATAATCTCTGCCCTCAGAGAGCTCACAGGCGAGACAGACACACAACCAGCCCATGACACGGCAGGGAGCGGGAGCTTGGGCAGAGAAGCCAGAGCAGCGGGCAGAGGGGCACTTCCCAACACCCCAGCTCGTGCCCTTACCCAGCATGTCCTCGGACACTGGGGTCCGTAGAATGTCCCCTGTGAACTCGCAGGTGGTCTTCTGGGCATCAATTCCAGAGGTTCCTTCAAACACCTATGGGACAAAAGGTAGTTTCTTGGGTGAGGGGCTTGCGGGAAAGAACAGGGCTTTCCATTCTAGGCACTCTGTGCCCACCTCTGGGCAGTGTATTTACAGGGAAACAGGTAACTTCCCATCTTCAGAGTTAGTAAGATAGTGTGGGAAACTTCCTGGGCTTGTCTGTGGGTTCACCCAGCCAACATCTCGTCCATGCCACCTACCTGAACAATAGCCTTGGTTCCAGCCACCTCAAGCACTTGGCCGCTCCTCTGGGTTCCGTCAGGCAGGGTGAAGTTGACGATCTCAGCATACTGGGCAAACTGGGGAGAGCAGCCCGGAGTCACAGTGAGACCAGAACCAAAGCTCCGTGGCCTCCCTCACTCTCCTCTGCTCCAGTGTCCTGCGCTGTTGTGCCCAGGCACTTCTGGAAACGCACTTGAGGAGCTGGGCGGTAGACCTTTGGAAGGACATGTGCCTGGATGGTCAGGAGCCTGGAATTTAGAGCTCGAGAACCAGGTTAGGATCGCAGCTCTCTCACTTCATTGTGTGTTACTTTGGAAGTCACTTAGTAACCTTAACAACTTGTTAAATATTTAAGTCACTAACTAATGAAACTTAGTCTTCTCAGCTTTAAAATGAGGGTGATGGCGATAGTAATACCTGCTTCGTAAAACTGCTATGGCCAGTAAATAAGAAAATGCAGTAATATGAATAGCTGGTTGTAAGACAATACCATGTATTACAACAAATACTGTGAAATTCATATTACTTTGTTAAGTAAAATTCTGTATGAGTTGTCAAAAATAAATAAATAAATAAATATAAATTTAAAAAATAAAAAAAAGTAAAAAAAAAAAAGAAAGAAAGAAAATGCATGTAAATGCTGTAGCAATGTGCCTGGCACCTCAGAAAAGATTAATAAAGTGGAGCAACTATGGTGGCCCTCCAGATCTCTATGGCCATGTTAAGTACTAGGAAACGGGCTGATGAAATCTTTTTCTCTGCTCAGGCATTGGGAAATTGACTCCCTGATCGTGGATACACAGTTTGATTGCCTAACCATAGCCTGGAATTGAGTCACATGTAATGGATAGGGGGTTCTGGAATTTTAAAAATGCAGATTTAAAAGGATTTAAAAATCCTTTCATCAAAGGATTTAAATAGACATGTGTTCAAAGAAAACATACAAACAGCCAATAAGGACAGAAGATGCTCAACATCATTAATCATTGGGGAAATTAAAATCAAAATCATGATGAGCTGCCACTTCTAACATTGGTGTAATCAAGAAGGCAGGTGATAACAAATGTTTTCTGGGGGGTGGAAAAAATTGAACTTTTACGCACTGCTGGGATGGAGGTGGAAGATGGAGCAGCCACTTTCGAAAGCAGCCTGTCAGTTCTCAGAAGGTTAAACAGAGAGTTACCATCTGACCCTCAGCATTTTCATTCCTGGTGTATACATGAGGAAGAAAAACCTACATCCTCATAAAAACCTGTCCATGAATCTTCCTACCAGCGTCATTCATAATGGCCAAAAAAGGAAACAATCCAAATGTCCATAAACTAAAACATGGCATATTAAAAGTGATGAATTCACTTTATTTATTTATTTACCTATTTAATTTTTTGGTACCGGGAATCAAACTCAGAGCCTTCTGCTTGACAAGCAGGTGCTATGCAGCTGAGCTATCTCCTCAGCCCTGGATTTACTTTAAAAGATTGAGGTTTATGGCATGTGAATTCTAACTCAACTTTGAAAATCCAGCCAGGCTGTCTCTGCAGGGCCATCCCCAACAGGGAGGCAGTTGGAGCCTTCCCCGAGCTCTGCTTCCTAGGCCTGCTCTGGGGACCACAGCATCGCTGTCTTTACCAACACCTCGGGGGCACTCTAAGCTTGGCCAGAAAGCTCTGCTGGAGGAGCCTCCCTGCCCCAATCCTCAGGGGCAGTTAAAGCTTCTTCGGGTGCCTGCACTTCTGTTCAGGGCCAGGACCTAGGAGGAGCATACAGCATCTCAATGGCAGATCGACTTTAGAGTCTAAGCCAAGCCTTTTGTTGTGCCATGTTGAGTTTTGTTTTGATACTGGAGGCAGAGCCCAGAGGCTTCATCCCTAGCCTTGTGCTGCTATTCTTCTACTCTTTTGAAACAGGGTCTAAGTCACTAAATTGCCCAGACTGAGTTCACACTTGCAGTCCTTTGTCTCAGACTCCCAGTGTGCTGGAATTATGAGTGTGAACCACCGCACCCAGCAAACATACTCTTACTAGCTGTTTTTTTTTTCAGAACCGGGGATTGAACTTAGACCCTTGCGCTTGCCAGGGAAACACTTATTCCACTGAGCCATCTCCCTGGACCCCTAGCAAACATACTCTTAATCCAACAAGAAGTAATAAAAAAGACAATCCTCCCTCTCCCAAATTGCTAATATTTGGGGAAATTAAAGTGCTCTTCTAGCCAGGCGTGGTGGCACATGCCTGTGATCGCAGAACTCAGGAAGCTGAGGCAGGAGGATCACCATGGGTTTGAGGGCAGCCTGGACTACACAGTGAGTTCAAGGCCACCCTGAACTCCATAGCTAGACCCTGTCTCAAAAAAAAAAAAAAAAAAAAGTGCTCCTCTAAATTTGCTTGCAAGTGTTACTGAGCTATAAAAAGGAAAAACTCCAGGCTTTTATAGGTAAATGGATGCAACTAGAGACCATGCTCCTAAGTGAAATAAATCAGACTCACATGTGTAAAAAATGTACTGTCTCCGTAGTGTAAAAACCTGAAAGAATAAATAAAATTTGAAAGGTACAATAGATACTATGAAAGTGAAAGAAATTGTTCAAAGAGATATAATAACTGGGATGAGGGAAAAGAGAAAAGAAAGAAAGAAGGAAGAGAAAATGAAATATGTATATGTACATACACAGGATAGCTTGGATAATTGTACTGCTGATTTCTACTGGTCTACTGAATTTTTTTTTTTTTTTTTTTTTTTTTTTAACTGGGGATTGAACTCAGGCCCTTGCACTTACCAGGGAAGCGCTTATTCCACTGAGCCATCTCTCCGGCCCCATCTACTGGTCTATTGAAAGGAGCAGTTAATGCTTAAATTTTTTTCCTTTTAAATTTTTAAAATAAGTTTTAGGGCTGGCCAAATAGCTCCACAGATTAAAGCACCTGCAAGGAGGAGCCAGGGCCAGGGGTTCGATCCCTAGGTCTGCCATGCTGGCCCCGGCCCCGCCCCCAGGGCGTGCTGAGACAGCAATTGAGACTGGGTGTGGTGGCACGCACCTGTAATCCCAGCTCTTGGGAGGCTGTAAACAAGCAGATCACTACGAATCTCATCTAGTAGTGAGACCCTGAACACGCTGTAGACCCTTCCCTAAAATTTGAAAAAAATTTCTAAGTGTTAACCAATTTTGCATGGGTACATCTGGCAATCTAACAATTAACTTGAAGACAACAATATGCAATATATCAACCACTGTTGAATTTCTATCATTCTGTTTAGTGAAATTCTGAATCATTTCTAATTTTTTTACTGTCTTATTTTCTTTAAAAATAAAGAAAATAGGGCTGGGGAGATGGCTCAGTAGAATAAGTGCTTCCCTGGCAAGCACAAGATTTTGAGTTCAATTCCCGGTACCATTAAAAAAAAAGAAAGAAAGAAAAGAAAAGAAAAGAAAAGAATAAATAAAGAAAATAGTGGGCCTGGGAGATGGCTCAGTGGAATGAGCACTTCCCTGGCAAGTGCAAGGGCCTGAGTTCAATCCTGGTTCTGCAAAAAAACAAATAAATAAACAAAATGAAAATATGGTAGGGGAGATAGCTCAGCAGCATAAGCACCTGCCTGGCAAGTGCAAGGTCCTGAGTTTGATCCCCACTCCCCCCAAAAAAGTGAATAAGAATTTTTTAAAAAGTAAATTACTCCTAGCATTAAAGTAGAAGCAATCAAAGCCAAATGACAGATTATGTAGACAAGAATAGGAAGAGCATCATTTTATGCCGAGGCCTGTAAAATACACAAAGTGGTACCGTGTTCTCTGACCATAATCAATGTAGGTGAGAAACTGGTGTAAGAAACAGGAAAACCTCACATATTTGGGAATAAAGGCATCTAAGTATAGCAGGTCTTACAGACTCAGAAAGCATTCAGCACTAAACAATAACAAATATTATGTATCAACATATATGTGGTTTAAAGATTGATAATGAAAAGAAAAAGCTTAAAATTATGTAAATTAAGAAGTTAATAAACAAATAGCATGAAAACCCCCCAAAAAGGTTAATAAGAGAACAAAATCATTAAAACAAAAAATGAGTATGTATATAATAGAGGTCAAGAAAACCAAACAGGGAGCCTGGGAGGTAGCTTGGTGGTCTAAGCGCTTGCCTGCCAAGCACAAGACCCAGGTCCCATCCCTGGTATCACATTCCATGCCAGCCACTGAAACGGGCATGGTGGCACACGCCTATAATCCCAGGGCTAGGGAGGCTGAGACAGGAGGATCACTGAGTCTGAGATGCTTAGTGAGAGCTGTACCAAATAAATAAATTTTTTGAAATGTTAAAAAAAAACCCAAACAGGTTCTCTGAAAAGTTTAATAAAATTGACAAATAGGCAACATTAATTAAGAAAAAAGAAAAACCCGGAATAAATGATGGCTGGAATAAAAATGGCACAAACAGACTGAGAATACTGAAGAGGTCATGAAAGGAAGTATAAATACAACTTTATACAACATATTTACGATTAACCACTAGGAAGAATGTATGCAATGTGTTAGTTATTGAAACTGTCCTACCAATTTGATTTGAAACTGTCTCATTGCTATTTGTTTATCAATAAAATTATGGGAAAAAAACATATGTAAGAATTCAGGGGCCGGGGAGATAGCTCAGTAGAATAAGCACTTGACTGGCAAGCTCAAGGGCCTGAGTTCAATCCCTGTTCCGCAAAAAATAAATAAAATAAAATAAAATAAAATAAAATAAATAAATAAATAAAGAGTTCAGATAAGATTAGTGAAATTCTAGAAGAACACAGCTGAAACCAAAACAAATTAAAATTGACAGAAAGCCAGTATGATCTGATAATTTTAAGACATTGAATAAATGGTTCAAAGCCTCTCCACAAATATGCGTCAGACTCAGTCATACCAGTGGATTCTAACACTCCAAGTACAAATCAATTTGAAATTTACTTAAGCTTTTCACAAGCCTGGGAGGAAAAGTGTTACACTGAATTCATTTTATGAGCCTAGCATAAGCTTGGCATCAAAATAAAATAATTACAAGAAGACTGCAGACAATCCCACTCACAAGCCTGGGT